AACAAAAGATGTTGAAACATGTCTCTGTGATTACAGAATGGCTGCAGACAACTTCTCTCAGCAATAACACCTGTCTTAGTCTTGTTAGGGTAGTTGACAAACTGCTAGAATATGCTGGAGCACTGTAAAAGGATGTAGAGGTGGCATCTGACCTCCTCTGACTTCACTGGGGGTGAGGACAATCAACCCCCCCCATGTCTGCAGCAGGTCACTTCCCACGAGGCCAGAGTTGGGCATTCTTCAACCTTACCAGTCAGTGCTCTCTGCATCTCTGTTGGGGTAGAAAAGTCTTCACAGTAGTCATACAGAACTCACAGACAGTACTCACAGTAATGGGTTTTGCGGGGGAAGTTAACAGGTTGTAATTCAAGATCAAAAATGGTCAGGACTGCCTTACCTCCCCATGCACAGGGACGTTTGGCATCAACCCTGCTCAGGCAAGGTTACAAAGCTCTTTCAGCACTGTAGAAAGTGTCTGGAAGGCATTCCCCACAATTACACGCCTTCGGCCTAGATGGCCAGCCCTCGCTCCTTGGGTCAGCAAACAGCTCTCAAAGAAGTTCCTGGAGACACACTCCACTCGACAAGCAGTCCTCCTGAAGACACTCAACTTGACTCTCCGCGGGTCAGGAAGCCCATCACTTTGTCTGTACCGTGGCTCTTGGTCCCGGTGCTGCGGTTCCTCTGTCACTCCTCTGCTGTCACAGCTTTTTATCTCCAGCTCAAGGAGGTTCATTGTGCAGGGGTCAGAGTCCAAAGGATGCACTACACTCCTGCTCTTCTTTCTTGATCATCGTGAATTCCTCCTTCCTGCTTCTGGGATGGGTTGTTTTATACCCAGCTGGATGGCAGAATTGACCAATCCCTACATTAGAGTTCCAAGTGTTTACAGTAACAACCCTGTTAACAATCACTCACAACTAAATCATAAAATTCTATCAGCATCTTCCCCCTCTCTTCGCTTACCCAGACACATCAGGAATAGAAGAAAGCACCCATTCTGTATGGTCCCACCCAGTCACTTGCCTGTGGCTGAGTCATTTCAAACAAATAATTGTGGCTCGGCTGTGGCTAGGAGTGATTTATCAAATAAATCACTACTCCCCAACATATAGGCGGTGATGTTATGAAAGTTTCTTAGCCATAACCAAACACATTGAGAAAATGTCATGGTATCTGGGGGCTCAAAACCATGGACTTGGGAAACCAAGGTCAATTGGCATAATACAGTTCACAAAGACAGTGTTTTACATCCTACTTTGCTGGCTTGTACCTGGGGTCTTCAAAGTTCATGACTGGTCATGAAAGGTATGGCTCTTGATCTCTCCTTGTCTGGTGGGAAAAGGAATGAAGAAAATCAGAGATGCATGAAACCATTTGCCCAGTAGACTAATGGACACGTGAATCTAGGCTGAGACCAGAAGAACTAGGTGATACCAAGCTACCACTACCAACTGCTGTGAGTAGAGCTCCCATTAGAAGCCCTGGAACAAAATTTGCCATTGAGAAAGACCCAGTTTTACTGGTCAGAGCCCTGGCGGTGGGGTGAGTTAGTTACATGTTGGGCTGCTAACAGAAGGTCAGCAGTTTGAATTCACCAGCTGTTCCTCAGAAGAAGATGAGGCTGTCTGCTCCCCTAAAGATTTACAGCCTTTGAAACCCTGGGGAACTGTTCTTCCCCGCCTTGTGGTGGCTCTGTGAGTCAAGATCAACTCTGACACGGGGAGTTTGGTTCTGGTTTTTGTTTTAACTAGTCAGGTGAAAAACATCTCATCTTGAAGGACATTAGAACGGAAGGTGGCGGGATTTATTTCTCATATTTGGACATTAGGAGAGGTCAGTCCCTAGAAATGGACATTATGCTTGCTAAAATAGGCAGTCATCAAAAAGAGGAAGATTATCAATGAGATGGATTGACACAGTGACGGCAACAGTAGATTCAGAGACAACAATCGGGAGGTTGCTGCAGCACTCGTCAGCATTTGGTTCTGTTGTGCATAACGGGTTGCTGTGAGTCAAGCAGACTTGATGGTACTTAACAGCAATGGGTAAGATGAAACTAGTGGGACCCTCAGTCCCCCTGTAGCTCTGTAATTGAACTTACATCCATGGCTTAGTTTTCAGCCAAACAATAGACTGATAGAAAGGGGAACAGTAACAGCAGTAGGTATACACAACGTAGAATAATCAACCATTGAGAGCAGAAGGGCAGCACTTACCCAAGGACGATGTTCAGGAGGAAGAACAGAAACGAAACAGGTAGTGGGACCCTGAATATTACATTATAGAGATTGCACACAAGGACATGAAATTAAATGAAGTATGTATGAATTATTGAATGGAAAACGGTTTGCTTTGTAACCCTCGACCCAATTCCAAGTGAAAAATACACTTGAAGAGATAAAAAAAACAGTGTTGCCTAAAGATCATCTAGGTCAAAAACCTGATACTTCTATCTTTTAGGCAAGATTAAAGTTAATGAAGGCAATTTTACAGAACAAGTCACAACTGGGGATGAGTTTTGGAATTACCAATATGATCCAAAAAGCATGAACCAATAAAAACAGTAGATTCCTAGGAGATAGACCGGTCAGCCCAGAAAGTTACAGCAGCTATTTTGGGAGATTGCAAAGCATCGCCTTGATAGGTTTTTTCGAAAGACCCAGGACAATTGCCTGGCTTAGTAAGAAGGTGTGTTAAGAAACTTGAAAACAGCATTGATGAGAAACTACTGACTACTACTGCCACTGCTTCGAAGTTGATTCTGACTCAGAGACCGCAACAAGGATTTGCGCGACTGTAACTCTCTGGGATCAAACAGCCTCATTGTTCTCCCAAGAAGTGGCTGGTGGATTTGAGATGGCCAGCCTTGTGGTTAGTTGAGAAAAGGACCAGGAAAGTTGGGGTTTTTTTCCATTATAGCAATGTGCTTGCTCATTCTTCTGGGGTATGAAGGTTGATGCTGTAAGGATTTTATTGAGAAGCTTTACCCCATCCACCATACAACCCTAATGTTGGCACTTCGGACTTCTTTTACACTCAAAGAACACGCAAAAGGAACGTGATTTGGATCTCTTGTGATTGCCAAAGCTGTTTTGATGGGGTGCAAATGGAAGCATACAGGATTCTTTGGGGAAGAATTAGAGAGATGGAAACACTCTCTTCAGAAGTATATAGAACTCGATGGAGGATATTTTGAGAAACAATAGCTTCATAGTTTATTCTTGTTAATAAGGGCTTGTATGATTGTCTAGCAATACTTTTTGACTCACCCTTGTCCAGTTTGCTCCAAAATATGGCAAAATAAATATTTTTGAAATAAGTAGAAAGCGGCCCTCAAACTTTTTGGTCTTTACACTCTTAAAAATTATTAAGGGCTCAAAAGATATGTGTATTTTTCATCTATAATAATAATGAGCCTATTATATTTTAACTTTTTTATTCAATGAAAAATAACTATTTTCCAAAAGAAAAGAAAATCAGTAAGACTAGAAGCATTATGTCGCAGTTTTACAAATCTCTTTAGTGTCTGTCTGAACAGAAAACCGTTGGCTTTTCCTTTGCTTCTGCATTCCGTCTGTTGTGAGGCCACGTGCCATGTAGACTCTGGAAACTCTTAGACCCTCTGGAGATGAGAATGAAAGAGTCTTTGAGGATTTGTCTGAGACTTCTTTTTCATACTGCTGGTATAGAATTACTTAATTATTGAGTAGCTTTGAGGGAGAGAGAACCCCAAATTAGGTTTCTGAATTTAAAATAAGAGTAAAAGTTAGAAAATGTCCGTCTCTGTCTTAAGTTGATACTTCCTTTGCAAATTTATCATGAAGGAATTCCTCACCATTAAATAAAACATTGGGGAACAAGGGTGCTCTCTATTCATATAGCTACTAAGTATTGGTTCTCCCGTGCATAGTTAGGATGTACAGATCTTTCTGAGCTGCTTTTTAAAATTTTTTATTAATTTATTGGGAGCTCTTACAGATATCTTAACCTTCCATAGTTGAGTCACATCAAGCAGTATTGTACACTTCTTACCACAATCAGTTTCAAAACATTCTCCTTCTTGACCTCCTTGATATCTGCTCTCCTTTATCCCCTCCTTCCCCCCAGTCCCTCTGCTGAACCCTTATTATTACTATATATGTGTGTGTGTGTGTGCGCCGTATCTTACACTATCTAATATATCCATTCACCTAGAAGTCTGTTGGTCGCTACCCTCGAGTGGGCTTACACAGTCATTGTTATCAGCTCCCCCTTCCCTCCCCCCCTTCCCATACCCTCCTGTTACTTTTTCGGCAGTGGGGGAGAGGGGGTACCTATGTTCCCTTTCATGTATCGAACTATCTTAATTTCACCCATGATCATACACAAGTCTAACACAGTTGAAACCATAATAGCTAGGGGAGGAAATATTAAAGAACTAGAGAATACCTCTGTACTCGAGTATAAGCCGAGTCTTTCAAAACATTTTTAATGCAGTTTTTGTGGTAAAATTAGGTGCCCCAGCGGATAGTCGGGTCGGCTTATACTCGAGTATATGCAGTAATTATGTTTCATCAGTGCTATACCGCATCCCTGAATATATTACCTGTTCCTTTCGGCCCGTCTGTGGGGGACTTCTAATCATCTTACATGTGTGTTTTGGCGTGCCACTACAGCCATGCTCCTTCATATGGATTCAGTTGCTTATTTCTGACCTTCTGATACCTATTCTCATGATCACACAGACTCATGTGTTTCTTCTCTGTGGGCTTTGTTGCTTCCCTGCTTGATTTCGATGGCCGCTTGTTTAAGTACAAGCGTTTAAGACCCCAGATGCTATATTTTTTGATACCCTGGCACCATCAGCTTTCTCCACCACACTTGCTTATGCACCCATTTTGTTTTCTGAGTTGCTTTTTGAGGTCATGGCTGTAACTTAATTTTCTAATTTATAATAGAGGCTAATTACTTGACAAAATGGGAATTAAAACTAATGGCTATTTTTTTCTCTCTTGTAGCCCTTCCCCACAAGAAGATGGACAAATTATGTTTGATGTCGAAATGCATACCAGCAGGGACCATAGCTCTCAGGTATGTGCATGTTTGTTTTTCCAATTTACAATATAAGGAAATAGGAAATATAAGTATGTTTTGCTGAATATATTAAAGAATAAGACTTTTAAAAATGTGCTTTGGAGCTATTTTAAATTACTCAGTTTTTCACATTTGAATTTATTTAATCCTTGTTATACTCTTTCTCTACTAAGAATTTTTTGGCTCTTTTGCTGTAAGAGAATTGGAAATTTTTGTATAGAATGTATCACCCCAGTATTCCAGGTTCATTGCTGGAGCTTACACTTAGGAAAACTAAAAGGGGTGTTGACTGATTCAAGACCACAGAGTGTGTCCTGAGGAAGGACTCAGTAGGAAGGAAGTTCCAGAACTGAGTCCTGAAGTCAAGTAAGTGGAAGCTACTGTAGCCCGCAGGCATCCAGCCCTGCAGTTTAATAGTCACGGTGGTTGTGAATGTTAGCCGCTGTCAGGTTGGCCTGACTCATGGTGTCCCCATGCACAGCAGAATGAAACAGTGCTCAGGCCTGTGCTGTCCCCTTGATTCATTGCTGATCTTAGAACCTGAAAGGCTCTAAAATATATGCAATGAAGAAATCTGTTTAATTAAACTATGTTTTTCCCAAGATTATGTAACCTTAAACTCCTCTCATCCCTCCCCCAATAATTTACCTGGGAACCCCAAGGAGCATTTTGATCCATGCTGTCATGGCTCATGGAATAGCAGGTTCACAGTGATACTTAACAGCTTATGGGATTGAAGAACTAACTGTAACTACCCTAGAAATTCCATTAAAACTCAGAAAAAATAGAAAGAAGGTAGGTTATTATCAAGCAGGGAGTATGCTATAGTGTCAGGCCATTTCCAGTCAGTTTAAGCAAGGTTAAATTTTGGAAAATCAATCTGATCATACACAAAGCATTAGATCTAATAGAATGGTATTTGATAGGAGAGAACTCGGTAGGTGTGACTTTTTTTTTTAATAAGTACAGCTAGAATGTTTCTTAGTAGTGAGGATGGT